TTTAGATTTATTTATGTATTTACTTCAAAATTAAGTGAGTTTTTTCTTAAAACATGCTAATTAATCTGCCGATGGGGTGAGCAAAATAATTAGTTTTTCCTTTTTACACCAGATTATTTTGCTTACCCTGTTGGCAATTTATTTAGCTTGTTTTAAACGAAAACTCATTTGACTTATTATTTTTGATAACAAGTCTTTTTATTTTCTTGTCTAGAAAATGCCTTTTGATTTTAGCATTTTTAGATATTTTGACTAGAAACTGTAAGAAAGAAAAGCTTCTTCTTTTTTTTTTTTTTTTTGCATGGAGCCAGCGGAGAAAGCCATGGTGCCAGTGTGGCTCTGTGCTGGTGTGAAGCCTGTTAACTGAAGAGAGTGTGTGGAAAAAAATGATCGCTCTCCCCTTCATTAATCTAGAAAGTACTTCAGTGTTCCCGTCCTGTTGTCTCTTGTAGATTGATAAGACTTAACACTGAAGAACAAAAACAAAAAAAGACTTCAATATCATTTAGGTTATTAGATATATGTTGTTGGTCAGGCGGCACGGTGGCTCAGTGGTTAGCACTGTCACCTCATAGCAAGAAGGTCGCTGGTTCGAGTCCCGGCTGGGTCAGTTGGCATTTCTGTGTGGAGTTTGCATGTTCTCGCCGTGTTGGCGTGGGTTTCCTCTGGGTGCTCTGGTTTCCCCCACAGTCCAAACACATTATTGGCTGTAGTGTATGTGTGTGAATGAGTGTGTATGGGTGTTTTCCAGTACTTAGTTGCAGCTGGAAGGGCATCCGCTGCATAAAACAGATTCTGGATAAGTTGGCGGTTCATTCCGCTGTGGCGACCCCTGATAAACAAGGAGACTAAGCTGAAGGAAAATGAATGAATGAATGTTGTAGGCCATTACAGAATCAGTACCAGCAAATTTCCGCAGATGTTTTAGCCCATCATCGAGTCTATTTGTTTACCTATGCAAATGTAAATATTATATTTTTATATTAATTTCAGACATGCTATTGAATAATATGCTAATTTATGTGCAATGCTGTTGGTAAAATAACGTTTTAAGTAGATATATGAGAGACTTGCTTTGTGTACCGAACAAGTGGTTTTTATTGGATTTGCATTGAAAACCTTAAATAAATATTTATAAGTTATCATTTTTTATTTCACGTGTTACATTGAAAAAAGTGCTGCATGCAGAACTACTGTAGAGATTACTGTAGAGATTGAGCAGTGTTATTATGTAAGATAATCAGCTGCAAGTACAGTAATCTCTTGTATTTTTACAGGTTAACTGTAACACTGTGACTTTTTTTTTACAGTTGTTGAAAATACAGTAATTACTGTAAATGGAATGATAAAATTGTCATTAAAGTACAGTGATTTAGCAGCTTTATGTAAAGTTATCAGCTGCAAGTACAGTAATCTCTTGTATTTTTACAGGTTAACTGTAAAAGTGTGACTTGTTTTTACAGTAGTTGAAAATACAGTAATTAATGTAAATGAAATGATGAAATGGTTTTTAAATTGCAGTGATATAGCAGTATTATGTACAAAAATATCAGCTGGAAATACAGTAATTTCCTGCATTTTTACAGATTAACTGTAAAACTTTGACTGTTTTTACAGATGTTGAAAATACAGTAATTACTGTATGAAATGATACAATTGTCATTAAATTGCAGTGATTTAGCAATATTATGTACAATTACTAGTTGCAACTACAGTAATCTCTTGTGTTTTTGCAGATTAACTGTAAAAGTGTGACTTCTGCAGGCGCTTCAGCATATAAAAGTGCTGCTTGATTTACAGTAGGTAAAATAATTACTGTAAATAGAATGGTGAAATAATCAATAAATCACAGTGATTTTGCAGTGTTATTATGTACGATAATCATCTGCAAATACGGTAATCTTTTGTATATTTACTGATTAAAAGTGTGACTTTCTCAGGCACTGCAGCATAACTAAAAATTGCTGCTTGCTAGTTTTATCTGCTTGGTCACACTTAACAGTTTGTTCTTGCTTTTTTTTTTTAGATTATTTGTTTTGGGATGCATTTTATTATACATATGTTTTATTATTATTGATACAATTTACCTGATTGTTTAAATTAATTGTGTATTGTCATATTCTGCGTTGTCATGTCTGCACTTATGACACACACACACACACACACACACACAAACGTCTAAACTATTATGACATTTCAGAGTGTTTCCGAATATAATGTCTGCAAGTGGAAACATCTGAGGGGGAAAAGGCTGCAGGTGACTTCACAACTGGGCAAATCTCCCAGCCCAAACTCAAATTAATCGCCAAAATAGTTATTAAGGTCAATAAAACAACAGTAAGAGAAACACATCTCCGCATCATTGCGCATTAGCAGTATGCATTTGGTAGCAACACACATAACACACTGAGATTTGTATGTGTATGTGTGTGTGTGTGTGTTCCTGTGGAAGCCAAATGCCTTTGCACCAGAGGAAAAGTCAAGTAAACTCTGCCGATGAAGTCCCCGTGTTTGCTTTATTAAAAGTTTCTTGTAGTGACTAATGGGTTTTCCCCCATTGTGGAACCCTACAAAGCAAGGAAATCTACTAATTTTTGTTTTCACGCAGTAATTTATTCTGTTATAGGAGGAAATGGCTGCGTCTGTCTGTGCGATTTCCCCGTCAAAATCCAAACACGCAATTGTCCTTCATGAAACAGCACTTTATTTAAACAAAGTTTTCATTTTCGCCTCCGCTAAAGCTCCGAAGAGTCTGAAGTTCGCAATCATTTCAGCCCATGATATTATTTTTATTTTATTTACAGGTGTATGTATGTATGTCTGTGTGTGTGCGTGTGATAAATGCATACATTAGCATGACAACACAGAATATCTAAATGGTGGTAATACACAATTCATTTAAACACTCCAGTAAATTGAAAAAAAATAAAAATAAAAACTATTAATAATAATATTAATAGTAATAATATTTTAAAAATAATAATAAATAAATAATAATAATAATAATAATGGTAATAATATTAATAATAATAATATTAATTCATAATAATATATGGCGCAGTGGGTAGCACGATCGCCTCAAGGCAAAAAGGTCCCTGGTTCGACCTTCTCAGTTGGCATTTCTGTGTGGAGTTTGCATGTTTTCCCCGTGTTGGCGTGTGTTACCTCCGGTAAGCTAAATTGTCAGTGTATATGTGTGAATGAGTGTGTATGGATGTTTCCCAGTGATGGCTTGCAGCTGTAAAGGCATCCGCTGCGTAAAACATATGCTGGATAAGTTGGCGTTTCATTCCGCTGTGGCGACCCCAGATTAATAAAGGGACTAAGCCGAAAATAAAAATGAATAATAATAAAAATATTAATCTGTCAAATAATGTATATCACTGCATGATAGACACTGTAATAAATGCATACAGTTGTCCCAACACAAAACAATTAAGTTAACCTAACACATTTAGGTGGACTGAGCAGAAAACAATTAGGTTGTCCCCCCCAAAAATCTCAAGAATCGTGTTGCTTCAACTCATTTTAAATCAGTAGTTAGAAAAAGCAGCAAAATCTATTGCTTTTAAAGAGTATACTACACTGTGTAATTTGAGCATTAATGGTTGTTACCATCATATTTGAAGTATATATTTATAATAAAAATAAACATTTCTAAATTGTTATTGTCTAGTATTTCTCTTAAATCAATTAATTTTTTAATCCTCAAATCTCTTCGCGGACGCACCAGACTCTCGATTGGAGCGCAGAAAAAGACATCTACATCGAGATCAATATCCCAAATCTAATTTTAATATCCAGCTATCATCCTCTGTACACCGATCCCCATTCACAGGTTTGTCTCAACTAAGGCAGTAACAGGAATCAATAATTCAATAGCACTGGCGTCCGAGTGCAGAGCTGGATTGCCACACAAGCCCTCTTTACACCACGCGATTTTAAAGCAGTATTAATTAATAGGCCAAAACATTGTACTCTGTATCTAGACGGTAACCCGAGCGTGCGGGTCATTCCTGATAAGAGCTGACATTTGATATTTATTAAACTGTCAAGAAAACCGCTTCAGATCTCTATAAGCGGGCTGAGCCACAGAACAGGAGTGGTGTTCATTTTACAGATATTAATATAATAATGATAGCGCAGTGGTATAAATAAAAATGATTACTGTATGTCATTCATGTTTGTTTATCACCATTTGATTGGGTTTTCAAAACTTGCATGGGATTTTTTGGCTCTTGTTTAATTATTTAAAATGAGCTGAATCGGCGGAATTCTTGAGTATTTTTGCGGGGACAACTTAATTGTTTTATGTTAAATTTGCAAAAACTATTAAGTTGAAATAATCTACACTCAAAATAATGATTTGCTTGTTCAAACTACTTGTTTAAAATGAGCTGAAGCAACACAATTCTTGAGATTTCATTGGGACAACTTAATTTTTTATGTTCAGTCCATATAAATTTGTTAAAAGTGTTCAGTTAACTTAATTTGTGTTGGGACAACATGAATGAATTGTGTGGAACCCAGTGTTAGGCTCTCGCTATATATATATATATATATATATATATATATATATATATATATATATATATATATATATATATATATATATATATATAGTTTTAAATAGTGTTTAATATAGGCCTAATGTTTAGTGTTTCACAACTATCTGAGAGAGTTCCTTGTGATTTTCATAAATAAATAATTTATTTTTTGCCAATATATTTTAATAACCACAATAACCTTAATTAATAATAGCATTCATTCAGAATTAATCATTACAGCAGAATTATCCAAACAACACTGAAACGGGATGATTTTTAATTATCACCATTAAGAATATCAGAAGTTAAATTGTGACACCGTCAGCTCCAGACCATTTTTGAAGAATAAAGTTAAAATAATGTATCTTATAGCGCTTAATTAAACTAAATGCACCCATTTAGTGGAGCGAAAAATTAAATAACACGGACTTCGTTTATGAGACGGATACTACAGTGTTTTTAACATTTATTTTATAAATCGAAAACACTGTGTTTAGCTGCAGCTCACGTTTCACAGTCATGGTAAAATCATAAATATCATCAAATGAGTGCCCGCAGTCGATGTCCTTTTATAACTCCCTTAAAAAACATGAACATTACATTTTTTTTCTGAGATTCACATGGTTGTACACACCGGGAAAGAGATGGACAAGAAGAAATAAGCAGTGTAAGGAAATCCAGGATGCCCTCACAATGCCTCAATGAAGCATTAAAGCACCAAAATAATATAAATATATATTTTCCTGTTGGCATAAACATGGGTATTTTACATGTGGATTTGATTTATACACCAATAATGAAAGCCATGTGTGCTCATAATAAGAATTAGGCATGGATGCAAGTGAAATTAGACACTCCACTGAATAAATTACCTGATAAGATTGGGTTATATCCACAACACACTGATTATTAACAACAAGGGAAATGGTCGTCGTTTCATTTAATGCTCATTTATTTAGTTTCATAAACCAGAGAGCATGTAAAGTGTGTGTCATCCGTGAGGACGGAAATGGGGGGTTTTTAACACTGGAGTTTTCATGATTTGGCAACAAAAGGTATTTCTGTAATATTTCACAAATATCCACAAAGAAACTTTGTTTCAAATAAACGAGGCCAGCCTCTTTATTTTCATTAATTACTAATAACGTGTTAAAGCAGAAATGTCCGCGTTGTCACACAACTGTCCCAGCTGCTTTATATCATTATTTTCGGATTCAAACCTCTCGTGTTCTGCACAAAAAAAAAGTTCTGTTCGCTTTAAGTTCAGCTTTATTTTCTCGTATAGTTCTGCATCTTGCAGTTGTTTCCATCCTTGTGAAGATCCACGAAATGTTTCTCCATTTCACAGTTTGTCTTTATAAATAGCCTCTCCTTCTTGCGTGTCCTTCATACGAAAATTTGCGTTTATTGTCTGTGGTTAACGTCGATATGCCGTCGTTCAATGCAATGTGACGTCACAGTCCCAGAGCCGCGGCGTGCTTTTTCGCCTTCAGTCTCAGATCCGCGATGCTGGAGTTTTTGTTGGTGGTTTTCGCGGCGGCGGCTGCCGCCACCACCGACGCCGCCGACGCGGATTCCGCTGCGAGCGTCGCCAGGGGCAACCCGAACGGCGGCGCGGGAAACATCATGTACGGCGCATGCGCAGCCAGGTGCGAGTGCAGGTGATGATGCGCGTGAGCCACGGCGCTGTCCAGCTGCAGCTGCGCCTGCACCTGAAAGGAGAAGGGCGGCACGTTGCAATGACTATCCTATGGACGCACGGGTGGGAAGAGAGGGGGAGAACACACATTAACTTAAGATAAACTAATGCAGTGCTGCTACTGGGCACTGGATCAATTGCATTTATCATCCTAAAATGCATCTGCACACCTGTATTTTGGTGCAACTAGATATGCTGCCCTAAATGATTCAAAGCAATACAGCAAATTTAGAATCGTTATAGATTAACTTTCATAAAAAAACATGTCTTATTTCTATTGAATAACAGGTAAGACTTTTTTCTGTTCTAGTGAGATTGCAATTGCTAGCAATGAGAGAGAGAGAGAGAGAGAGAGAGAGAGAGAGAGAGAGAGAGAGAGAGAGAGATTCTGTGGCAATGGAAACAAGCTTCTGAGATCACAATAAAGTTACAGAATGTACTGCATAACAGAAATGACTCATGCACACAGAAAGAGAGAAAGAGAGGGGGGGAGATAGAGAGGGGAGAGTGTGTAAAATACAAATGTACAATTAAATGTACAATTTATTCAGATTTTATTATTAATATTAATATTATTTAATAATATTTAAATTTAAGTTAAATTTAATTTAAACAAATAAAACTGTTATTATTATTATTATTTTATACTACTGTATTTGCTATGTTATACTGTATACGCTCGTTTTAATGTAAACTTTATAAATGCTTTGGTAATACATTTGTAACATGTATCATGCCAATAAAGCAATTATTCAATTTAATTAAAGTGAATTGAATTGAGGAGGAGAGAGAAATTTGAGTGTGCAGTGCCACCATAAAGGATGCAAAAAAATTGTACAGGTCTGTATAGGACGGTTCTGCATGGGCTATAGTCAAAATAACTTGCCTGCTGAAAGGGCATGCGCAGAGCTCCCACGTTGACATATGGAGCCACGCGACATGCTTCAAACTGGCTCGCCGCTCCGATGAGAACCCCTGAAAAACAGTGATGTCTTCTTTACACGCCATATTTGTATGTAAAACAGAGATGCATGGATAATATTTGATATATCATTTAATTGATTAATATATATATATATATATATATATATATATATATATATATATATATATATATATATATATATATATATATAAAGAATGCTATTTTTATTCAATATGTGTTACTTCTTTCTACACAAATCTAACGAACTAAAAACAATATACAACCTTATTGATTGACTAGTTTGTCAAATTACATACATAAAAAATAAACCAACATTAAATCTAATAGCAGGTGTTCATTTATGCATCTGGTGTTTGTTTAATACAAAGCAGAATTCTACAAAGCATCCAAATATATTTAAGATTTCTTTAAATACATAATGAGTGTATCCACGCACCTTTATGCAACTGATTTTCCTGCTTTCTGCATTTAGCCCTTCGGTTCTGAAACCAAACCTGAAAGCAGAAGACATTGATTGACAGCTGTCGGTGAGGGCACGTGTAAAATCCCCCCAAAATGACAACAATCTCAGTAAAACCATGTATCCCTGGGGACCTCTAAAATATTCATAAAGCTCAACCGCAGATTTTAATTATTATTTATCTTTGTAACGCGCTGAAAATTGACGCAAAATGCGCCAAATTAACCACGAAGGAAAAAAGATTAGTTAAAATGTTAAACAAACGGGAAGAATCCAAATCTAGACGTCCTGCGTCTGAAATAGTGTCATAATATATCGTCTTTCTCCAGTGGTTTAATCTATCCAGGGATTAGAGTTCCAGAACAGGCAAACTGATCCTCTGACAGCAAACACCCGGCATGGGACTATATGTCTGGACTTCAAGAGCGAGCTAAAATTGAGACATTAATTGCCAATATCCGAAAGAAAGTCTGTTGCGTTTTTTTATTTGACCATACAGCCTGTGTTACAGACATCGGAGATTTGTGATTGTGTGTCAAAGTTCTGCAACGCTTTTTATTAATTATAATTATAATTTAGCCCATAACACAGATCAAATCGAGCCGGTGTTTGCTATTCTGCTGTAAGTGAAATTGTAAACACGATATGATGATAAGAGATGTGTCATTATGACTAAAATGGCAGCGGAGTCTTTGAGCAAGTGGTGTGGGCTTTGGTTGTGAATAGTGAATATGAAAAGAGCATCAGATCTTTATTTTGGTATAAAAATTAAAGATAATTTATGTAAATCCGCGGGCCTAGCTTGGGACAATGCCCTTTGGTAAGATCCCAAAGAGAGACGATGGTTTAACTTTTTCCAGGGAGGTCTTTTGAGCACATTTTTAAAAGGACCAATGTATTCAAAGAGCGAATTTTATATCCCCTCCCAAGGAATGAATAGATAAAAGAGAATGAAATAAGATATTGTTTTTTTTTCTCCTCTCTCTCTTCCTGATCAATCACACCAGAGCCAATGTCTATGTTGAATGTCATTATTCGGCTCAGTCGCTCGTCTCTTGTTACAAATATATTGAGCCTTATTATGTTTCTGTGCAGATGGTCTTCCCCATCCTAAAAAGCACACTACAGATGTTGCCTGCAGGGCCAATGCGCACAAATCAGGGAATAATTTCTGTTCGCTGTTTTGTTCATTATAGCTCCGCGGAGTTGATTTAAGCGGCTTAATATCACTTTTATTTTCGGCGATTTCATTCCACTATTCAACACACACGCTGAATAGCTTGAGATATAATTTTATTTAGCATGCTGAGGTAAGTTATATAAATACAGCAACACGCTTGAAAGTTTTTAGCAGTGCTATTGTAAATGCACTCAAAACATATTGTTTGGTCGTTCAAACTAATAATTTAAAATAAGCTGAAACAACACAATCTTAATATTTTATTGGGACAACTTTTTTTTTTTTAAATCTTCAATCCACATAAATTTGTTGATAGTGTTAAGCTAACTTAATTTGTGTTGGGACAACATGAATGAATTGTGTGGAAGCCTGCACTTTTTACAGTGTGATGCTGGGATCCACACAATCGGTTTGTCATGGGACAACATGAAGGAATTAAGTTAGCTTTTTAGTTTTTACAAATTTAAGATTGGACTGAACATAAAACAATTAAGTTGACCCCAAAAAACCCGTATAAATTGTGTGTTTCAGCTCAATTTAAAGTGTTTTTATTGATAGATGCTTTTTGGCAGGAACAAAAATACTGCAACAAGCAATACTTTAAAAACGCAATATATATAGGGCTGTAACGTGAAACGTATCGACCTTATTTTGCATTTACATTAGATCTATTATTAATTAGTAATCATTTTTCAATACTCAGCATTACAATGGCAATTAACTGTCATTAATATTTTAAGCGTTGTGTGATAAAACGAAACACGAATGATACGCGTTCATTTTGCACTTACTACATACAAAACAAAGACACATTAATTGCATAAAAAGGCGTATATATATATATATATATATATATATATATATATATATATATATATATATATATATATATATGAATGTAAATCCATATTAAGTGAAACTAATTTAAATTTAAATATATATATATATATATATATATATATATATATATATATATATATATATATATATATATATATATATATATATATATATATATATATATATATATATATATATATATATATGTGTGTGTGTGTGTGTGTGTTTGTGTGTAATTGTTCCATGTTTACTTAACGAAATTGTTTCGAATTTGGCAAACGAAAGCATAAAGGCCATACTGCATGCATTTGAAGGCAGACAACATAAGGAGGGCCTGACCTGCACCCTGGCCTCCGACAGCCCGAGTCTCTGGCTCAGCTCCTCTCTCATGAAGGCGTCCGGATAGTGCGTTTCATCGAACAGTCTCTCCAGCTCATTGAGCTGCTCAAGGGTAAAGTTAGTCCGACTCCTTCTCTGCTTGATTTTAGTCTGTGTCTCATCCTCCAGCGGCTTACAATCCTCTTTGCGTTCCTTCATATCTGTATTACCTGAAAGCAGAGCAGAAAAGGAGAAATGAACGCCTCGTCCGGTGATGTGAAATGAGGGCAGTGTGAGCCCACTGATGTCGGTCACGGATGTTTTGTCCTACACAGAGCTCTTTAATTATTTACGCACTATACATATGCATGGAGCTTCTCTCTGTATCGGATGCTGCAGGAATGTCATCTTATTGCACTTATATTAACCTGGCAAAACGGGTGAGTGTATAACGAAAATGAAATCAATACAGGACAGTAATTAACGAAGCTGAATGAAAATTCATACTGACAAAATAATACATCGATCTAAATCCGAATGGCAATGTCCAGTAGCTAATAAATGTATTCATTATTAGTAGTAGTTTAATGTTGCTTGTAGAAAAGAAAAGGTTAGTAGAATCGAAATTATGTTTAATTCAAATTATTATTATTATCATCATTATTATTGCGTCTAATGTTAGTAGGCTGCTGCATGTTCTTGTGGTATTAAGACTTTAAAATAACGCAAATAAATGATGGGTAGAATATTCAGCGTGTCTCATAAACATATAAGCTGATTTATTACTTTACAAGAGTAATGCACAGGCTGAGTTGTCCGCTTTTTTCTTCAGTTTCTTTCTGTTTAGCATGCGTTAACACTTTGGCCTAGCCTGTATTTTCTTTCAGAAATCTATTCCTCTCTATTATTCTTTTAATTGCGTCTTAATATCTGATCAAATAGGCCTAAATATAACAAATAAAAATGCAGGCCTATGCATCTGCTGTCTAATAAACCGAGCTATCAGTTTTATCACTTTTGAACTATTAATAGAGTTATAGTTTTCCAATTTTTTAATTCATAAATGGACAGCGATGACTGGAGAATAATTCCCGGACAAATATTATCTTGTTTCGTGTAGCATGAACAAATACATTATAACGTTAAACTTAAATTACATAAATAGTAGCATATAAAGCAAATAAGTTACACTATTAATAGGCCTATTTGTAAAATAAAGAGCATGCGAACGTGATTTAATTATTTTTTACAAATGTCCTGCGAGATAAAAACGTTGTAAAACGCAAGAAATGCTCACCGTCTGTAAGTTTAGGACTGCTCGAGTCTCTGCTTCTCTCTGACGCGAGCATGTCCGCTTCCCTGACCGGCGATGAGCGCACTCCGCTCCGCGTGATGCTGCTGATTTCCTCGCGGTTTGGATCCGCCGACAGACTCTCCCGGTTCCTCACCGAACCGGTTTCCAACACCTCCCGGTACGTGATCACTTCCTTCTTCTCCTTCACTTTCTGATCAAAAGATTTAGAGACAAACGCTGTAAGTTCTTCCATCACTGCACCCAAGAAGAACGAAGAAGAAGAAAAAAAAAAGCCCCACACAATCTTCCTTTTAGATCCTTAGCAGACTACCATAAGAACGGGAACAGCGCGCGCGCTCTCTCTCTTTCTATCGGCCTAAATGCGAGATGATGGTGTGATGATGAGATCTTTGACAATTCCTCTTGTTGCGGAGAGTGTATACAGACTTGCTGCCGATTCACTATTGAAGTCACACTATTTATACTTAGCGAAGCGTCTGCCCCTTGATCCGCGCGCATTACCTTCCCTCACCGCGAGCCCCCTTCCCATAGAGGCGGGATGGGGTGGAGGGTGGAGGGGGGGATATTATCTGTCCTTCAGATCCACATCACCCCTTGCATGGATGCTATTGGCCAAGATTGACAAGAGGAGCAAATTAATGTCATTACGCGAAGACTGGCTAGAGTTTGGAAACACCGTGCACGATGATGAGGATGATGGAGCTCTGCTGGGGTGAGGCCAAAACTACTGACACCATGGACATCTTATTCTGCAACTCTTTGATCCGAGTTGGAAAACGAGACCGTATAGATAACGAGAAAATGTGCAGTTTGTGATCATACAGTAACAACATCATTAAGCGCTTCATTTTGACGCCAAAATAAAAATAATCTCGTGCAGAAGAGAAATAAAAATGTTCATCTTAAAAGAAGGCAGCTTGTTTTTTTTTTTTTTTTAATAAATGCATTGAATTTGCGAGCCATACTGCAACTATTCAGCATTCCCAAACTGTTACATTTTCACGCACATTAGGCTGTCAGAGATTGGCTATTTTTATTAGCGATGTGATCTGTAAAACGCGCAGATCTTAAATCGAAATCGTTTAAAGAGGATTTAAAGCATAAAAACCAATTTGCAAGTTTATCGATTAGATCTTCGCAGAGCTTATGATACAGTTGGATATTAATAAATACAGCAATGGAGCTGAATAAAGCGTGCTGCTTTTGTTCATTTTATTGCAAATGTCTCAATGTTTATTGACGTCTTTTTACTTTTATTTACATTTTAGATAATCTATCAGAGAGGAAAGTTTTCTATCATTAGCTAAATTTACTTAAAGAAAATAGGCTTTGCGATTTTCAATGGCAATTAACTACGCATTTTTAAAGCTGTTGCAGAATATGGTTAATTAGTCGAAAAAGTTCAGTGGTGAAAGGTATTTGAAATATTACAGAATAGGATGTTCAGCCGGTAAAGTAAACGAATATGCTAAGTTTTAGATTTACCTAAATTACAGAACACCTGATCACCTCGACGACAATAATTACAACACAATTTATTTAATAGACCTATCATGCATGTTACTTTTATTTCATATGTTAGCTAGTCACATTATGGAAGGGCATCCGCTGCGGAAAACACATGCTGGATTAGTTTTCGGTTCATTCCGCTGTGGCTATCCCTGATTAGTAAAGGGACTAAGCTGAAAAGAAAATGAATGAATTAATGAAGTTAGCTGGTCAAATTATTTAAATAGGCTTGCATATCCGCACAAGTGATAGCAATGAGTTGATAATTTTTTTTTAGTTAATCTGATGATGATTAATAATAATAATAATAATAATAGTAATAATAATAATAGAATATTATTATTATTAATAAAAAATATTAAATAAATATTATTATTAATTATTATTATTGCTATTTTAAAACGGTCACATTTAAGACGTCATATCCGAAGGTTGTTGCACAATTTTAGGCTAATAATATAGTTTAATAGCGATTGTGCATTCATTAAAGGAGTTGGCTTGAGGTAACAAATAACCTGTAATTTGCTGCACATCTTTTAATAATGTGAACGTTTAGTGTTGCTTTAAAACACGTTTCAAATTTAATATGATCATTTTAAATGTCAGATAAAGCCCTTTTTCCACTTTAAAGACGAACTATTGTAACATTCACCTTCTAAACCAGTCTGCAACCCTTTTTTAAAAATCCTAATAAAGTACGACACAACAACTCTGTTCACAATATGTAGATCAACAGTTTTAAAGCTGATGTCAATTTGTATGGTCCTCAGTTTTCAATAAGTCCGCGATTTCTCAACAAACCTCAAACGCGTAAATCAACAAGGCATCAGAAAAGATCCCGCGACCGTGTGTTATGTGACGACCTTGTCGTTGAGAACCGGAAAATAAGTATTTCAAGCTTTATCTTTCGGTATCACGAGAAGCTGAGAGCGCCCTACTATTATGTTTGATTAGTGATGCCTGCTGGCTCCGCATCCATCGATGATCTCCAACTCGGCTACTTCAGTCTGTTCATCGGCTCATGGCGCTGCTCTGTGAGTTGCTGTTGTGATACAAAAGGACTGTGTATCGTTTTATAGGTAAGAATGTGACTGTTGATGTACAAATTAGTTGTTTTAACGTTACATATAAACGTTAACATGTAGCAGACGTGCTCTGTATGTGTGTTAGAAAAATGTAACGTTAGAAGAAAGACTTACAAACATTCATTCAACATTTAAAATGGAAAGGGACGCGATTTTCATGTTATTCACACTATTGTTTTTGTTCGTGAAATTGATTGAGGTAATGTTGGTTTTACATTCGCACACTTGCTCAGTGACAACATTTGATATGGTCCCTAACGTTCATTGTTTATAATCAGTCTGAAATCACATGGAGGTATGACTTCATAACAACCTTAGCTCTGTAAACTGTGTTGCACTACAGTCATTGACTGCTGCTAATATGATTTACCTGTTTAGACTTTGCAAATAATTCATTTCTGAAATTACATTAATAAGGAGAAAGTTAGAATGTGCAAATATAAGACAAACTTTACCTTAATTTTACCATGGTACTTTGAATATTAGGCCTGAAATCACATGTAAGTATCCATACAACATTAGCACTAACGTTACTTAACTTTATTCTTTTTTAAGTTGACCTGAGAGGATGAAAAAGCTAAAATAAAAGCAGTTTTATTTCTTTTTAAACCAATTTAAGGTCAATATTATTAGCCCCCTTAAGTATTTTTTCCCCCAACCCTACTGAAAAAAAACAGCTTAAACCAGTGTAGGCTGGTTGGCTGGTTTTAGCTGGTCAGCCAGGCTGGTTTTAGAGGGGTTTTGGCCATTTCCAGGCTGGTTTCCAGCCATTTCCAGCCTGGTCTTAGCTGGTCAGGCTGGGAGATGACCAGCTATAACCAGCTTGACCAGCCTAGCCAGACTGGGAGCCCAGCCAAAACCAGCTATGCCCAGCTTAAACCAGGCTGGTCAAGCTGGTTATAATGTTTAAGAAAGCACGGACATTTTCACATATAACATTCCTATAATATTTTTTTCTTCTGGGGAAAGTCTTATTTGTTTTATTTCAGCTAGAATAAAAGCAGTTTTATTTCTTTTTAAACCATTTTATGGTCAATATTATCAGCCCTCTTAAGTATTTTTTTCCCCAATTGTCTACAGAACAAACCACTTTATATAATGATTTGACTAAATACTCTAACTTGCTTATTTAATCTAGTTAAGCCTTTAAATTGAACTTTAAGCTGAAGTATCTAGTAAAATATTATGACAAAGATAAAAGAAATGAGTTATTAAAACTATTATGTTTAGAAATGTGTTCGAAAATCTCTTGTGTTAAATGGAAATTGTGTAAAAATATTTATAAAATAATTAATATTTAACAGGAGGGCTGATAATTCTGACTTCAACTGTACATGATGAGCTACAGAACTTTAATCTCAAATCTATTCGTTTGACCCAGCGAGCAATGGGTCGTCACTCGTCAGACAGCGAGGACACCAGCCGGAGCAGGAGGAAGAGGAGACAGAGACAACGCTCTTCATCCTCCAGCTCTGAAAGCAGAGTGACCAGCCGCAGCAAACACTCCAAGAGACGAACACGCTCCCGATCCAGAGACCGAAACAGAACCACAGATAGAAGGTAGACCATGTCAAGAAATTAAAAATAAATAAAGATATATATATATATATATATATATATATATATATATATATATATATATAATATTATATTATATTATATTATATTTAATTATATATATTTATACAACAGTTCTGTCTGGTTCTCAAATCTGATTGGCTGATAGCTGTGCGATATTCTGCAATATCAGAACTCCTACAGCCTCTTTACCCTTTGTGTATTACTCCGCACACATACAGCCAGCAAAAAGCAGACACTACAGATCTAAAGTTTAAAAGATGCCTGCTCAGCTGTTTAACTGTCAGCTCATGATTTGAATACGGAATAAAGTAGTTCCTCACACAAAAGGATTTTTGAAACTCTCCATGTTTGATTCTGTTTTTATATACACAATTATATGTATGTATGTATGTATATATATGTATATATATATATATGTGTGTGTGTATACATATATATATATATATATATATATATATGTGTGTGTGTGTGTGTGTGTGTGTGTGTGTGTGTATATATATATATATATATTTATATATATATATATATATATATATATATATATATATATATATATATATATATATATATTTATTTATCTAGATTTATTTATGTATTTATTTATTTATTTATTTATTTATTTATTTATTTATGTATGTATTTATTTATATTTATTTATCTAGATTTATTTATTTATTTATTTATTTATTTATTTATTTATTTATTTATGTATGTATTTATTTATATTTATTTATCTAGATTTATTTATGTATTTAATTTTTTATGTATTTATTTATTTATTTATTTGTTTTTTTATTTATTTGTTTATCTATTTATTTATATTTATTTATCTATATTTATTTATGTATTTAATTTTATGTTTATTTATCTATTTATTTATTTACTTATCTATTTACTTTAATTTATTTATTTAGATTTATTTATGTATTTATTTATTTATTTATTTATTTATTTATTTATTTACTTTTTATCTATATTTATTTATTTATTTATTTATATATATATATATATATATATGACAAATGTTTTGTGTTTAGGGTTGTGAATTTAGTTGTGAGTTTTTTCTCTGCTCTATTGACTTTTAATGATGAAAATTAAACTCTACAGTTTAACAAAGTAGATTTTATTGACATTCTAGAATTTTCAGATAACATAATATATAAGAAATAGCATAAGAAGAAATAAGTCTGTAGTTGCTGCCATGTGATTGAGAGGGGTCTGGCTGCAGGCTCGGTGCAGTGCAACCTGAGCTGCATCCAATGCTTTTTAATGCGCTCACCTAACCCCACCTGTCACAGTGACGTCACTCACTCCATTGAATGCATTGTGTCTGAGATTGCATGCCTCAAGGCTGCATCCAGATACTATTGATTTGATTGGCTGATTAGAATTTTGCGTAACAAGCTGTGTGACAGGTGTACCTAATAAAGTGGCCGGTGAGTGTATTTATAGCAGGTATGTATGGGTGTGTGAGAAAAAGTACTGGAAGTTTATTATCAAATTTTTAATGTTTATTTATTGTTTTAGCCATAATTTAAAACACTAACCAGACAATATATCACTTCAAACTATTTTAAACGTCATTACAAACTTTTCACCATCAAATGTTGTTACAGGAAAGACCAAGGTCCTAAATGAAGCATGAATCTCAAAATACAGAAAACTGTTAATTTACTGATGGTTTTTTGACTGTGGTTCGCTCCAGGAAAAACATGTCAAGGACACGAGACTGCTTGCTAATTAGCAGTACATTAAATCTCCCCACTGCAGTAGATATAATGCAAAAGAAAGCTGTTTAAGGGCCCCCATCAATCATCACGTTACAGTTGTCGAGGGAAGTCATTTAGTTATTTGAACGCAACACTATCGTTCCACTATCTTGAATACTATTTTTAGTGTCTCGAATAGACATTGTGTGCAGTTTCTTGAACTCAGACGTTGCTTTGTGCAGTCACTTGCACTGTCTGCCCTAACTTCAATTATTCATGATGCTTTGCCATAATATGTGATGGGAAATAGTTACTCTTGCAGAAAGAAGGATGTGGAGGTCAAGTAGACTGACGCTGATCAGTCATTGTCACACATTAGTTGTTTTTAAGTGGCTTCACCTGTAGGTAATTATGTTGGTGTTTGATGCTCTGATTAAGCTGTCTTGAATAGTGTGAACACTTAGGCCGTGTCCGAAACCGCTTACTACTCAGTAGGTACTGCATTTGAGTATAAACGTACTACTCGGCCGTTAGAAAAGTACGCTCTATACAGTATGAATGTGAAAAGTATGAATGGAATTCGGACGTACTACATCTGCCATTTTGTCATGATCATGTGACCTACCTGCGTCAGTTGCGTCGCTTCACTCCCATTCATTAATTCTCTCACGGGGCATTATGGGATAGCGCAGCGTGCATGGAATGCGCACTCCAGAATCTTGCTGGAAGTAGTAAGTCATCCGGGTACTTCTCGCATACTGATTTTCGAATTCTTTGAATTCGGACATACTACTCGACTTTATTTATTTATTTATATTTATTTATTTATATGTTCATTTACTTATCTAGATTTGTTTTGCATTTATTTATCTAGATTTATTTATCTAGATTTATTTATGTATTTAATTATTTATTTATTTATTTATTTATCTATTTATATATATATATATATGTATGTATATATATATATATATATATATATATATATATATATATATATATATATATATATATATATATATATATATATTTATTCATTTATTTATATATTTATTTATATTTATTTATCAAGATTTATTTATGTATTTAATTATTTATTTATTTATTTGTTTGTTTATTCATTTATCTATTTATTTATATTTATTTATCTAGATTTATTTATGTATTTAGTTTTATATTTATTTATCTATTTATTTGTTTACTTATCTATTTACTTAAATTTATTTATTTAGATTCATGTATTTATTTAATTACTTTTTAATCTATATTTATTTATATATTTATTTATTTATCTAGATTTTTTTGTATATTAATGTAACTATGTGTTTATCTATTTATCAATATTGTTTTATGCATTTAATTACATTTATTTAATATTTATGTACAATGTATTTAATTTATTTATTTAATGATTTATTTATCTATATTTATATATTAATATATATGTATTTACTTATCTATTTGTATATTTGTTTATTTATCTATTTATTTATTTATCTAGATTTATTTGTATATTAATGTAACTGTGTATTTATCTATTTATCAATATTATTTTATGCATTTAATTACATTTATTTATATATTTATGTACAATATATTTTATTTATTTTTTTAATGATATATTTATATATTTATTTATTTATTTATTTATCTATTTATTTATTTATTTAGATTTATTCATGTATTTAATTATATGTTTATCTATTTATTTACTTTTTTATTAGCATTTATTTGTTTATTTATCTAGATTTATTTATATAATAATGTACCTATGCATTTATTTATTTTCAATTTATTTTTCATCTATATTTTTATGTATTAATATAATTATGTATTTATTTATTTATCATTATTCATTTATGCATTTAATTACATTTATTTATATATTTATGTACTATGTATTTTATTTATTTATTTAATGATTTATTTATCTATATTTATTTATATATTAATATATTTATGTACTTATTAAATTATCTATTTATTTATATATTTATTTATTTATTTAGATTTATTTATGTATTTAATTATATATTTATATATTTATTTACTTTTTATCTACATTTATTTGTTTATCTAGATTTATTTACGTATTAATGTACTTATGCATTTATTTATTTATTTATTTATCGAGTTTTCATCTATATTTGTTTATGTATTAATATATTTGTGTTTATTTATTTATTTACTTATCTATTTATTTATATTTTAATTTATTTATCTTGATTTATTTATGTATTTAATTATGTATTAACTTATATATTTATATATTTATGTGTGTATTTATTAATTTATCTATGTTTATTTATGTATTTAATTATTTAGTTATGTAATATTTATATATTTATGTATTTTTGTATTTATTTATTTCTATTTACATATTTACTTATTTATTTGTCTATTATTGTCTGTCCATCCATCCATCCATCCATCCATCCATCCATCCATCCATCCATCCATCCATCTACATATTTATTTATTAATTAAATTTTGCAAAAAAAAAAAAACATTCTGTGACTAACCCATGTGGACTGCTTTTTGCCCTGCAAAGCAGCTCAAACATTAACTATGACCTCTAATACCGCCACAGTGGTGGAGAGAGACACTCTGCGGCCAGAGCTGCTCACAGTAAAGCTTTAGAAGGATGCATTTGGATGCAGAAATGCATAATAAATTTAATTATGTTTTTTTTAGATAAACATTTTATTTATTCATGATGTGGGGAATGGGCTTACACTTCTCATTTAGCTTTCAGAGTGGCTCTAAGAAGTCTCGGTCTATCTGTTTGAGTCAAAAGTAGGGAAGATGACAGCGGCTCATTGGAGAGAAAAGAAACCGGGAGAGAGAAATCCAGTTCATTAGTTAAAATAATGCAGGCCGACTGGTGTATATCTGTGATGTCAGCCTTTCTAAATATAGTGCAGAGGGTTATACTGGCTGATGGGTAGAAGCTTGTGATTTTCTGTATGCAGACTACCTTATTTCATTCATATCCGGGTTAGTCAGGGAGTGTGCCCTATTTTGTTCTCTCACCATATTAAATATCCCTTTTGTGTGAAATCTGTTTACTGTAAACAACACCTTTTTTGTATTGTACAGGGATTATCTCTTTGTTTAAAGTTGCTCATTGTATTTTTATAAGTATACAGTGTTTTTTATCATAAACAATGTTTCTGTGCTTTTCATTATTTTGTAAAAATTCATCCATTCTCAGAATCTGAATCAGATATCATAGCATCCCTCTCCTTCAAAACTTTCCTTCACTTCTGGTACATGGTCTGCTTTTAGGGCGGAGCTATCAATGCTTTAGGGTGGAGCTATCCGTTCTTTAGGGCGAAGCTATCAGTCTGTTAAAGCAAGGCTATTAGGGGTTTAGGGCTGGGTTACCAGTGTTTTAAGGTGTGGCTATCAGTACTTTAGGGCATAGCTATCAGTTTTTAGGGCGGGGCTATCAGTCCTTTAGGGCAGGGCTATCAGTCCTTTAGGGTGGAGCTATCAGTCTTTTTAAGTGAGGCTAAAGGTCTTTTAAGGTGGAGCTATCAGTCCTTTAAAGTGAAGCTTATGGTCCTTTAGGGTGGGGCTATCAGTCATTTAGGGCGGGGCTTTCAGTCATTTAGGGGTGGGCTGTCAGTTCTTTAGGGCGGAGCTATCAGTCCTTTAAAGTGAGGCTAGTGGTTCTTTAGGGCGGAGCTATCAGTCCTTTAGGGTGGGGCTATTGGTCACTTAGCGTGGAGCTATTGGTTCTTTAGGCCTGGGCTATCACTCATATCTCTGGTTCGAGCCTCTGCTGGGTCAGTTGGCATTTCTGTGTGGAGTTTGCATGTTCTCCCCATGTTCGCGTAGGTTTCCTCTGGGTGCTCCCATTTCCCACACAAGTCCGAAGGCATGTGGTGAATTGGGTATGCTAAAATTGACAATAGTGTATGAGTGTGTGTGTGTGTGTGAATGAGTGTGTATGGATGTTTCCCAGTGATGGGTTGCAGCTGGAAGGGCATCCGCTGCGTAAAACATATGCTGGATAAGTTGGCGGTTCATTCCTTTGTGGTGACCCCAGATTAATAACCTCTAAGACGGACTAAGCCGAAAGAAAATGAATGAACGAATTGATTTATTAATAATTATAATTTAAGAAATATTATAAATAATGATTTAATTCAAATAATTAAAAAAAATGTGTTTAAACAAGTTTGAAAGGAATATTAGAACACAAATAGTGCAATCTGCCGGATGTAGCACAGCGCAGTAACACTTTAGTTTAGTTAAGTTTAGTTTAATAATTAACTGTATTTCTGTGGCATTGATCAACATCTTATTCTGACACCCATTTTACTATTGGAGGCATTTGGAAATAAGTGTATGGACGATTTTTGCATTTGCGTGTTTCTTAGCAGCAGAAGTCGTCATAGTCGGTAACCTCAGAGCACAGTGAATGGGAAAGTACAACTAGTCATTATTTTACAATTCTATTTTCTGAAATAATAAAAGAAAAACTCCTCGATGGTGTTATCAAGAACAAGGAAAACAATAGTGTGAGACTGAGAACGGCAGCCAGAAGAGAGAATAATGTCAGATTTACTGTCCTGCCCCCATATAAATTGCATTACAGACACCTCGCATTAGTGGTCATTTGTTTTTTTTGTAAATTGATGCAAAAATGATATAATACATAGAGAAATGCATATAAATGTTCACACATTAAAAAAAAAATCTAAGTATTAAAAACTTTAAATGATTTAAGGGTGCTTTCACACCTGTGAATCGATTCAGTTGTTCTGAAACAGAGATTACAAATGTTACATTCTTGCTCTTTGCTCTTGGAGCGGTTCGCTTTCACACTGCAAAGTTTCTAGTCGGACCAAAAGAGCTAAAACAAGTCACGTGCAAATAAACTCTCCTCACATTGGTCAGAGTGTCAGGGTTTATTTTGCAGAGTCCCGCTCAGCTGTCAGGAGAGGTGGTGGTTTGGTGGTGATTGACAGGGTGCGCGCGCGTGACGTGTCTGAGGAGAGATGCGGTGGGGAGGGGTGAGAAGGGTGCGCGGCGATGCCTATTTGAGGACCGGGAGGGAGACGCGAGATTACCGGGAGATCATCACTCGATTGCGGGCATCCGGAGACTCGCGAAACTTCCCGCCATACTCATAATTCTCTCTTCATATAGCCGTATGCCTATTACATATCCATAAAACACTGTGATATAACCACGCTCGGATCAGATCGCTTTCTCACTGCAATCGAACCGCTCCAGGGATCATTTCAATCGAGCCGAACACCTCATTCAAGCGATCTCGGAGCGATTACTTTGGCGCGGAACAGAGCGCGATTGCCCTGTTCACATATGCCAAACGAACCGCGCTAACCGGGCAAACGAGACACGTTCCGAAACAAAAGTGTAGGTGTGAACGCACCCTAAGATGCTGTTGAACATTAAATGTGTCATAACAGTCTTGTGAAAAGAGTCCATTACAGAATGTGTTGTTCATACAGAAGCAGTAAGTATGTTTCACACTGCTGGTATATTACTGTACTGATACTCTTGCTACTGATTTTCCAGACACAGAAATCGTTCCCACAGCAGCTCTTCCAGAGGATCCGGTCACAGGAGGCGAAGCCGAAGCGCAGATAGAGGACGAAGCCATCGCTCCCACAGATCCCGATCCCGCAGCCGAAACAGGAGGTAAGGAAAAGGCTGCAGAATGATTCAAATAAATGAGGAAATAATTGTGTGCCCAACCATCACAGTAGTACAGCTTTACTCTCTGAAATAAACTCATTCTGTGTGAACAAACAAACAAGCTAGCAAACAAACAAACAAACAAACATGCAAACAAAAAATAAATAAACAATGTATGAAAAATAGGCGATGCAGTGGTGCAGTAGGTAGTGCTGTCGCCTCACAGCAAGAAGGTCGCTGGTTCGAGCCTCGGCTGGGTCAGTTGGTGTTTCTGTGTGGAGTTTGCATGTTCTCCATGCGTTCGTGTGGGTTTCCTCCGCGTGCTCCAAAGACATGCGGTACAGGTGAATTGGGTGGGCTAAATTGTCCGTAGTATATAAGTGTGAATGTGTGTGTGGATGTTTCCCAGAGATGGGTTGTGGCTGGAAGGGCATTCGCTGCATAAAAACATGCTGGATAATTTGGCGGTTCATTCCGCTGTGGCGACCCTGCATTCATGGGGGGACTAAGCTGAAAAGAAAATGAATGAATGTATGAAAAATAATGAACTATTTATGATAATCTCTTTTCTTAAAGGGACAGTTCACCCAAAAATGAAAATCCGCTAATAATTGACTCACCCTTTAGTTGTTTAAAACCTACTTGAGTTTCTTCTGTAGAACACAAAAGAAGATAATTTGAACAATGCTGCGCTTTAAAAAAATTACTCTTATCCCTATAACAATTTGCGTAAGTAAATTTCAAGTAAATATTTACTAATCTTATATCAAGTAGAATTAACTTGTCGATATCATGTACAATTTACTTAATGTTAATCTTACACCCTTAAATAAATCAAGTAAAAGGTAAATGATTATCTTTTTTTGGCGACGCAGTGGCGCAGTGGGTAGCACGTTCGCCTCACAGCTAGAAGGTCGCTGGGTCGAGCCTCGGCTCAGTTGGCGTTTCTGTGTGGAGTTTGCATGTTCTCCCTGCGTTCGCGTGGGTTTCCTCCGGGTGCTCCGGTTTCCCCTACAGTCCAAACACATGCGGTACAGGTGAGTTGGGTTGGCTAAATTGTCCGTAGTGTGTGAGTGTGTGTGAATGAGTGAGTGCATGTGAATGTTTTCCAGAGATGGGTTGCGGCTGGAAGGACATCCGCTGCGTAAAAACTTGCTGGATGAGTTGGCGGTTCATTCCGCTGTGGCGACCCCAGATTAACAAAGGGACTAAGCCGATAAGAAAATGAATGAATGATTATCTTTTATTTTGAATCTAGATTTATTTTAATGATCTACTTATTAATTGTTTTGATAAAAGCAATGTTCCTTTTACTAAAAAATACTTTAATTAATTAAAGAAAGTTGTTATTTTTTAGCAAAAGGAACATTGCTTTCATCAAAATAAGTCAATCTTATTAGTTAGACTGTAAGAAAATAAGTGAGTAAACCATTTCCCTTAAAATTATTAAGTAAATGAACAATGTGCATAATTATAAAAATTTAATTGCCTGAACATAACAGTTTACTGGAAGTTAATTCTACTCCTTTGAAAAGAGTTTTGAACTCAGTGTTGAAGGTAATGAGTTAATTAAATACCTCATTACTTCAACCTAAATGGAGTAAGTTCACAGTACTCATATAGATTAGTTTTTGAACTCAAATGATTTGTAGCTGTTGGTTTCCTCACACGGTTTGAGTTGCCATAACTTATTGGGTTTTACTGGTTTCAGTTCTCTTCATTCATTGTTTTACTGTGCTCAAATTGCTTCATTTACTCAAATGGATTAAGTTCACTACTCCTATAGATTCATTTTTTAACTCAATCTGTTTCTTATTGGGTTTTCCAGTGTGTCCATTTAACAAACAAACAAAATGTCAATAGTTTTTTAGGGTTTTGATCAATGTGAAACATGTTTTTTTCTGCATCATCATCATCTCCATCATCATTTTCCACCCTCCTCCTCCTCCTCCTACTCATTGGGACTCAAATGCTAACATGTGCTTGGCTAATTAGCGTATGACAGGTTGCCATTAAAGACCTTCTGTTCGCAGCGCCACTCACTCTCTCACAGCTGCTTGTCCTGCGCACACAGACACTCACACTCATTACAGGGGTTATTAGTGTAGATTATTATTGTTTTTGTCTGTATTAATTAAGCACTGGCACAAGCACCCTTGGGTCAGTCCACGTTTGTGCCCGTTTTGAGCTTGGAAGAAATAAGGGGGCTCTTAGGTTGATGAATTAATGCAATTAAACTATAATTATCTGCAGGCTGTTTATTGAAATGTTTTATGTAATGTAAACTCTCTGCTACATCGACATGTAGAGGAGTAAGAACCGTAGGCTTTTTGTTTTTACCATTAGAGCTACCGGCAGCCATTGTGACCATTTTTAATTTGTGTTGGCTCACATTTCAAGTTTTGTGGTATACAATTCATCCGTGTATCTCATTAAGAAAGAAATGTTTTGCCCTTTTAATCTAATATTAAAATCTGAAAATGCACTTCCTGTTTGTGTTCAGTTAAATTCTCAGATTAGGTCTGTCTGAGTTAGTGGGTGTGGTTAACATATGTAACCACGCCCCTTCAGCTGTCAGTTTTGATAACAAATGGAAATGGTGAGCAGGAGGAGTCTGTTATGTTGTAATAACTCTCCCCAAACCCTTTTCCCCATCTTTCTGAATACCTACTTTGCTACATCCAATCAGCTCACAGTAGAAAAAACAAGCCACACCCACATTTTTTTTTTTAACGTTCTGTTTCTCTTGTAACTGCGTCACAATACAGAAAAGAAATTGGTCACAGCTTCCGGTTCATGTGGACTTTTAAAACTCTATTGAAATGAAACCCGCATATCAATAATACCTTGACCTTTCCTAAAGATGTGTATATTTCTTCCTAACATTGTTATTTTATTAAAATGATAAAACACACAAAAAATGTACAAGTATTTATATGTTTCTTACCATAATGGTCAAAACTAACAGCATGCTATTTAAGTGTCTGATACTTTTCCTTGTGACTTTGAGTGCCTCTGTTGCCTAGCAACTTCCTGCTAACAAAAACACAACCTAATTTGGTAACACTTTATAATGACTACACACTATAAATCATTTATTAAGCATTAGCAAATAGTGAATTCATTATCTGTTAAAGCATTAACTCTACATTAATAAACGTCAGTAAGGAGTTTATAACTTCAGCTACAAATGCTCTATTCTTGACTTATAAGCATCTATATAATGTGTTTAATGATTGTATTTTCATACTCTGTTAATGATTTATTTTTCATTTCTAAATTAAGTATCGAATTATTTACAAACCGTTTGTATTTAAGAGTAGTTGAGGGTTTTCAGGACCATTCAGAATGAGTTAGTAAATGATTAATAAACTATTGAAATCAACATTTATATGTCTTATTATTCTGGCATATACTAATAGTTTACTAATATGTTTGTAAATGCTTTACTAACTCAACTTCATGCAGTTTTGTGACCTAATCTAAAGTGAGGACTATTCATGCTTTATAAATCCCTTATAAATGACAAATAAAGGCTCAGTATCAAATGAACGATAATCTGTGCAATCTTTCTAAAAAGTAAAATTACTGTAAAGTTTAAACATTGCAAAATAACAGGAGTGTCAAAATACGACATCCAAAACAGCAACAATATAATAATTTAACATTATAATAAGATGCAAAGTTTAAACTCTACAGTGATTTTATTTTAGATAAGGTTGCAAAGATGAATTTTTCATTTGAAGTACAGTTTTATTTGTGTATCTTTAAATGAAGAGAAATGATTAATGTCTTTTTTTTTCCTGTTTAGAATTTAACTGAGCCTTTATTTGTCGTTTATAAGGGATTTATAAAGCATAAATACTCCTCACTTTAAATTAGGTCACAAAACTGCATGAAGTTGAGTTAATAAAGCATTTATTAACATGTATAGTAACCATTAGTATATGCCTGAATAATAAGACATATAAATGTTGATTTCAATAGTTTATTAATCATTTACTAACTCATTCTGAATGGTCCTGAAAACCCTCAACTACTCTTAAATACAAGCAGTTTGTAAATAATTTGATACTTAATTTAGTAATGAAAAATAAATCACTTACTAAGTATGAAAATACAATCATTAAACACATTATATAGATGCTTATAAGTCAAGAATGCAGCATTTCTAGCTGCAGTTATAAACTGCTTACTAACACTTATTTATGTAGAGTTAATGCTTAACAGATAATGAGTTCACTATTTGCTAATGCTTAATAAATGATTTATAGTGGGTAGTTATTATAAAGTGTTACCGTCTTGAAGACACTACAACCAGAGTTTTTGGCTCATGACATTAGTTTTCTTTTTTTTTTGATAGACCAACATGGGTTAGCGGCAAACGTGTCACGCATTTGGCGTTGTTTGCACCATGAGTATTTATACTTAATTAATACCTAGAATCAATACTACATGGGCTAAATGCACACAAAATATTATTTTTAGTCAGCCAGACCAATCTTTTTCTGTGAACTGTTATGTCATTGCCACATTTAAGATCTGATTTCTTTAAAAATCAGCAATCTTCACTGCCTGATTTAAATAAAGGGGGTCTCAATCCATACAAGAAGCATTATATAGGTATATATACATAGGGTATATGAATATATGTAGGCTAATAGATGTCTTTAGCAGAGTGAGTTTCCACCGTTTTCTTACTGCACCAAAGTAAAGGAGTAAAGAGTAGAAATAAAGTAAAGAGGCTGAATGGAGGAGGCTCGTTCTTTATCCTCGCGCTGCAGATGCTCTGTTTAATGGTTTTCTCGCTAGTGAAGCGTTCAGTTTTTACACTTACAAAGCCCGCCATGTAAATAACAAATGCACCATAGAGCGACGCAACTGACTCTTAAAGGGAACGAGAGATGAGACTCTAATTGGTTTAATGCACGTTATGCTCAAAGCACACCCAGAACTCATTAAGTGAGTAAGCACAGCCCTGTTAGACCATGCGCTGCGGTGCG